CGCGTGGAGATGCCGAAGGGCAGCGCGAAACTGGTAGCACGCCCCGTCGAAGGAGAACCGGAGGTACTTCTTGAATTAGAGTGCATTGGAACATGGAGGTATCGTCTTTGAGATCGATTAACGTAAGCCAATCCCTGTCTCGACGGAGGAGATCACTGACCTGAGTGTCTTCCATCCTGAAAGACGGCACCTCCAGTAATTTGTTCAGCCCTCTGAGATTCAGAATGGGTCTGAACCCTCCATCCTTTTGGTCACGAGGAAGTAGGTGGAATAAAACCCCTCTTCGCTGACTCACAGGAACCACCTCGATGGCGCCTTGGTCAGTAAAGACTGAACCTCGGCACGGAGGTTCTTCCGCCTTGTCGGGGTCGGCACAGGCGCAGTGCAACCCCGGACAAGGACGGAGGATCGGCCCACTGTGGGTGGAAATGGCCATCCCTGAGCCGTGGACAGGACCCAGGGATTTGAGGTGGCTGCCTCCCACTCCCGAGGAATAGGGACAGCCGCACGCACCGGGAGGGGCGGTGGCAGAGGTAGTGCACCCCACCGCCGGCAAGTCTCGGCATGCGGAGTGGGGGCAACAAGGGCTCTGGGGAATGAATCAGTGGGGAAGCCGGGCTGGCTTCCCCTGCCCCGAAAAGACTGCCGCGCTGGAGCAGGCTTGCCCCTGCCTCGGCGCGATGCTCCGCTTTGACTGCAAAGGGGCAGCCCACTTAACAACATCCTTCGCCGAGGCAGAAGGGTAAGCCGGACGCGAAGGGAGGGCCGATGGCGAGGAGCCGGAGGGCTGCTCCAACAAAGGCTTTGAGTCCTTAAAGGTAGAGACAGCCTCCGCGGCCTCCCTTACCACCTGCAAGGCCCCAGGGAACAGGGAAGATCCCATGGTATAGGGCAATGACAGTAGAGCTTGCTGTGTGGTCGGGCGAATACCGCCACAGACAGCCACAGGCGGCGCAAGCTCCATGACGGCACCATCATCTGGCTGGCACAGCACGAATGCTGTCCCGAGCCAGATGCGAAAGTGTCGCGTCCGTTAACTGAAGGCGACCGACTCCGATGAATCGGCACGCCAGCGCTGTGGGCCACCAGCTGTCCTGCAGCGCCCGACAGGTAGGCTGAATGGACTGCTACTTTAAGTTGCTGGGCGGCGCGCGGTAACATTCTTCGAATGACGGTAGGCAGACTTCAGCGGCAGTGGCGTACTAGCGGCCGAAAAGGGGAGGCGCTGCCCTGCCTGGCGAGGCCAGGGAAGACGAAGACGCGACCCTCCTAGCGTGACTGAGGCAAAGAGCGCTTTTCGTCCACCACTGGTGGTTCGAAGAGTGGTCCGCACCTAACTGGTACCGCCGGCCGACTTCAGGCAAATCAAAAGCGGCGAGTACCAGCCAGGAGCGGATTCACCACCTCACTGACCAGTGATGGGAGAATGCGTAAAGCGTGCCTCTGCGACCTGGTTAGGTCGCGAACGCATACTCCCGAGCCGAAACTCCAGCTGGGTCGGGTGCGGGGCGGGAACAGCCACCCGCGGCAGGACTTCGGCGATCTTATCCTGAACCTGCCGCAGGGACGAGGGCAAGGAGTACGGCACTCCGCCTCCGATTCCACCGTCCCTTCCTCCTCCTCCTCCATATCGACTCGGCAGAATCCTCGGCCGCCATAATCTCAGACTCCTGAGAGAGCGCGGTGAGACGCCAGAGGCAGGACCAGAAAAACTCATAAGGTCAAGAGGAGCCAGGGGAAAAACATCGCAGCCCTGCCGGGAGGAACCAGCGCCAGGTCAGCCGAAGTCGCCCGAGAGGTGCCGCAACAGGCTTCGGGCAACCCTGACTGGCTGCCGGCGCCGAGGTATCCCGAACTGGTGGGCGCCTGGCGACCGCCAGTCGGGACACCAGGCAATGACAGGGGCAACCCTGTATCGCCGGCACCAGGCACCTGTGACAGACCAGTGCATAAAGCCAGGTCGCCACCAGACGCCGAGGGCATGCCTTCACCAGGGCCGAGGTATCCCCGAACTGGTCGGCGCCTAGGTGACCGCCAGTCGGGACACCAGGCAATGACAGGGGCAACCCTGTATCGCCGGCACCAGGCACCTGTGACAGACCAGTGCATAAAGCCAGGTCGCCACCAGACGCCGAGGGCATGCCTCAGCCAGGGCCGGCCAGGATCAAGCCGCCGCGGGCGTTCTCGAGCGGAGCTCGGGTCGCAGCCAACCCCCAGATGTGTCAGCCCGCCCCGACGATCGGGCGCTGAGCTCCTTACGGAACCCGCTAACGCCAGATCAATCAGGGACTTGACTGACGACATCTGCTCCTGGTAAAAACGGTTAACGAATCAACAGGAACACTTTTACAGGTGCTGAATCAAGAGGGGGTGGCGGGTACAGAGATGGAAGCAGTAGGAGATGCAGAAGGGGCATGAGTGCGCGTGAAGACGAAGCTTTGGTCGCCTTTAGCTTTTTGGGAGCCGGCTCGGCGTGGGAAGCGGCCCCGTGGACCCCTTTTTTACTATGGAGCGCGGGACGGGGATCCTGTGCCCAGAGATCACCCCCACCGAAGCAGGTTGTTGTAAAACAGCGTGTCTATCCGCCCTACCGAATGGTTTGGGGCGAGAACATGGCACATGCCGCACACCCTCTTCCTCATGTTCCTTCTGCACTAAACAGCGTAAAGCAGACCTCGTGGGAATCCCGTGACGGGAATTGCAGCAAGGCGAAGTACAGGGTTTAAACTGCAACAAGTAAAACCTGTGCAGCAATCTACCCTACACCCACATACAAATACATGTAAAAAGACGCGATGGGCGACACAACTAATGCGACAAACGAGCATGCAGTTGACAACCTAGTACACACTGCAGCATAACTAACAATTCACGGTTTTTAGCGTAATATAGAAAATGCGAAAGCAGTAGACATACGCTCTACACGCACAAAGATACAAATAAAAACCACTAAAACCACCTGTAACATTGAAAACCACATGGGAAACCAATGAACAGGAAGGCTAGCGAAGGGACCTGTCCGCCATCTTGACACGCACTAGCGTTTTAATCTGGCGACAGGTACCGAAGTTACAACGAGAAATTATGAATGAAAAATTCAGAAAAACCTCCAATTACGCCCATGCAGGGAAAAAGAGAACCATACATACAGTTGCAGTTTCTGAAACACTCATAACTCTCTTAGTCGCAAGGAAAAACCTTCTGGTATGGACCCACGTCTTGTCGGTACAACGACAGCATGGAAAGTGAGGTACGAGGTTACGGTCTAGAGTTACCTGCTCTTGGCTGTAGGGGGCCGGAAGGCCCTGTAAGGGTGGTCTCACAAGACAAAACGTAGTTTTTGTTTTGTAAATATTTTATTCAAATATTGTTACAACTGTCGTAGGGAATTTAAATGGACATTTAAATGCTTATAAGTACCCCAAGGAGGAATATATAAAAAAGAACCAGTGATTGGTTCTTGAGGTATCTCGCTGACAAGCTTAACATGCAGACTAACATGCTGAAATCACACTGTGATGAACCTGGGTACCAAGTATGAAAAGAATCCAGTCAATGGTTCTTAAGATATTCCAATTCGTATGTACGGATGCATGGAGCCTAATACTTTATCCCCCGCTTCACGTTAAGCACGCAGTGGGCGATAATAAAGCAGTGAATGTTGGTCAAAATAAATGTGTACATAGTGAATTCAAAAACAGGTTATCGAACTGTTTTCGAACCCCGTGCACTGCATGCGGCATATTATGACGCCATACAATTGTAAGTGATACAGCTTCTCGGCAGAGAATTTGCCGGTTACCATGGCAGTGAGTAATATTTTTTCCAGTTGTCACCCTCCTGGAAGGGGTGACACAGCAACTTGTTAAAGCGGCATTAGCCTGTGAAATTTAAGTATTTTACAAGAAGGTAAGATGAAATACTGTGTCCTGATACACCAAGATACCCTCCATCTCACTTCAGATATGTCCAGTTATGCCTTGAAAGTGGACCCACGAAGATCCAAGTTAGAATTGGTCTTCAGTAACCCATACTTGTCGTAAGAGGCGACTAACAGGATTGGACGGTCAGGCTCAACTTGGTTGACACGTCATCGTATCCAAATTGCGCAGATAGATACTCTTGATGTTGATCACTGGAATGTCTGGTCCAGACTCGATTATTTAGAGACTGACGCCATATAGCTGGAATATTGCTGAGTGCAGCATTTAAGAACCAACCAACCAACCTTTGAAAGTGCTTTTGTACTGATTCAAAAGCTGCAAGAACTCTCATGTAAACTTACTTTTTGAAAGATAGAAAGGCCACCTGATTCTTTCCTATAACTGTAGTTTATCTATCATGTCAGCTATACTAATGTGAAAGACATAGGTGTTGCTTAACTTCTTTTAAGCAGCATAAGTCAAAAGCTAGTTCGAGAAGTCTCACAAGTCAAAAGACACTGACAGAACTTGAATTCTCTCAAAGGGAGACAACTTTGACTGGACTAGGACATACATATCATAAGTAGCCAGCCTGAAGGCTGGAGATCCAACTTTAAAAAAATAATCCCATGGGTTTCCAATGTAGTCTCCCATTCTCTACTCCCCAGCAGTGTAGATGTTTTCTGTCCATGAGTGACAGGAGTGTAACAGCCATGGGTGCCTGGTGAGAACCTTGCCAGGACAAAGGTTAAGCTTGGAATATACTACTAGAATAAACATGTGCCTTATAGTAAATGTCCAACAAACCTTCCTCTACATATTTTGAAGACAAAAGACAGACTCACAGATGCAAAACTTCATAATGGTCACTTTCGTAGCTTACGGTGATAGACTAACAATGACTGGTCGCCATGAAATTGTTTCTCTTTCTTCTCACACGCTGGCATATTATTCCTAAGGAAAATTGTATTTTTTCCCCTAACATGCAAATTCATAAAAAAAGTGAAAATTTCCAGACACTTTCCCGCTATGGATAAGCTAATTAGCTTGTGATACGTCAACACTGTACATTCTCACCTGACAGTGCCGTAACCCTGGCAAATCTCCATGGCTTCCTTGCTCCCCTTCCAGAACAGCATCTCCATGAACACCTTCTTGTTCTGTTCTGCAGTCTCAACAAACCGTCGGACAATGTGGGTAGCAAACTTGACCATCTCCTGGGGACAATGAAAAACAGCTGACAATTGATATCTTACAATACTTATTTGAAGAAAACACTGTCAACTGAATTCAGAACATCAAACTTGAGAAACTATAAAATCTTGTAAACACAGTTACCAAGGGCCACTGAAAACACATCTATATTTTGAGACAAGAAGAGAGGCAGTATCGGTGAATGAAATAGTCTTGAATGGTCACATGCCCAGATGGCTTTTAAAAAAAGTTAAAGTCCATGCCACACTTCTGTGACTTCACTATCCCTGAAACTGTCCATCCATAATTCCTTGTTGAAACTATGATCGTATTAAAACAAGAAGTCTCTACGCCATACCTACAATATTTCATGGATGAAACATTTATGAATGACCTTCAAAACAACCTTGACATCAAACACAAGCATGACATGATGGGTGTGAAGTTAGTTACTTTGAATCAATCTTAATTGCTTTATAAAAACCTAATTTTTCATGAATTATACCAAAATGTCATGAAATGTGAATATTTCATAACTTGACCAATAGTAACCTTGACCGTATACATAGGTAGTCGTCAGTATCATCTTGTCCCGAAACAAAATATCAGGGGACTTGAGTGAAATTTTCATAATAATTCCTGGCTACAAACAAGAGTTGTCAAAAACCTGTCTAGAAAAAAACCCATCCACTTGTTGTCTTGCCAGCAGGTAGACAGTTCTTTTGAACAGTGGATGACCAATGTTCAAATAATGGGGAATCCTGGGGCCTCCTATAGCACTTATAGTATGTAGGGGGCCTTCAAATCTTTAACTTTAAGGCAACGACATGGACCCCCTGATTTTCACAAACTTTCAAACTGGCAATATAACACAGAAATGCCAACCCCAAATTGGTGCAATTAGGAAACTGAGCTCCCTAAGATAGAAAACAATTAGGAATTTTCCAAACAAATTAAGGATCCCTATAAATTGTTGCACTCAAGGAACGAAACTTTTCAATGCCATTACACACAGAGATCCTTATACAACTGAAACTGGTTTGCAGTACTCGGCAGCAGTGTTTGTGAATGTTAAGTGAACAAAATAAACAGTGCGTGGAATTTATCAGGCAGCCTACTCAACTTCCGGATTACTTTCTATGTGTAAACAATCTGAGAACTGCTATAAATAAAGTGTTATATTTATTTAATTATCATCATTTATAGTCAAAGATGACCCTAGCCCTCCAGTAAGTAAGACTATCTACATCTTTGTTACATTTTGAAAAAATCGGAATGAATTTGGCTTTGTCGGGATGGCAGAATTGACATACATTTTTCGGGATGATTCCGATAAATTCGGGAGGGTTAGCATCTCTGATATAACATCATATTATTGATAACGATCATGTCAGGATATACAGTACATTAAAGTTTAACAGTAGGTATACGGTAAAGTCCCCAGGTATTTAATACCCGTGAAGGTCCGGGTTAGAATATTGATCTTTAGTACCCCATGCTTGTCGTAAGAGGCGACTAACGGGATCGGGTGGTCAGGCTCACTGACTTGGTCCACACATGTCATCGGTTCCCAATTGCGCAGATCGATGCTCATGCTGTTGATCACTGGATTGTCAGGTCCAGACTTCGATTATTTACAGACGCCCCGCCATGTAGCTGGAATATTGCTGAGTCTGGCGTAAAACTAAACTCACTCACTCATTCCCCAGGTATTCAAAAGGTGACATTGACATGGCAAGCGTACCCGGAAACGTGAAAGTTTGGCATAGGGGCCCAGGAGAACTTTCTGGAAGACGCGGAATACAGATGCCTGGAAGACCATGGCCGTGTAGCCAAGGTCAAAGGCGACCCGGTGGAGCATCTTGATGATACAGTGGTTGGTATGGTCTGAGTTCTTCTCAAAGTCGGCCAGCAGGATTCCATACGCCTTAAGTATCTCTGGCTTGCTGAACCTGAGTGGGCCGAATCACAAAGTAATCCGTGAGGCATGTTACACAATCACAATGATGTTAAATGTTTCCGTCAGACAGACAAGGAACCATAGGTCTGCCATTTTGTGATTCAAATTTCAGCTGATTCTACAAAAGCTATGGGTATGCAGGGGTATCAGTTTATTTTCTCTGAGCTTCCTGAAGACATGAGCAATTAGTTGAAAACATATTTTTACACACTAAGGCAAAGTTCCGTAAAGTAATCTCAGCACTGAGACTATTGTAGCCCTCGCAATTTAACAAATGCTTACAATGTATGTAGATAGAACACTAATCCCTCTAAGCTTTAGTCTGTAGTTTCACCAACTGAAAAACTTGTCCACATGTTTCATAAACTTATCAGACCCTTGCACATTCCATATTAATAATGTGACATATATTTACCTTACAAACATAATTACAAAACCAAACAATATACTAGCCAGGTCTTGGATGTACCTACGTTAAAATGAACCCTGTGAAGTCAAACTCCTGCTCCGACGTAGATGTCTCCACTTCTTCCTCTGAAACATTCCCACAATGCAACATTAACAACCCATCTCTTGCAGCCACAACCTCAACTATCCAGGCTTATGTTCCACAAGGCACCGTAACTCTCATAGTTTAAAACTGACTTAAAACAGTTGAAACACGAGGATAGATTTGTGGAAGGAAGTCCAGTGTAATATAATGAAACACTTTGAAAATATGTTCAATTTCTGTGACATTTTAGTAATATGGCCCTAAATATCAAATTAAGTGGGTTCTGAGTGCTTTGACAAAACAAAACATTGTCAGACAGGATTGAATCTCATATGATGTGTTTGTAGATGTTAGAAGTAAGCACACAAGACTAATATCAATACATGAGGAGATGATAAACATTTTCACAAATTGACTTTTTATCAGCATTCCAGAAGTTGGTGAGTCAATAATGCATGGATAACAAATTTTTCAATGCCATTACACATAGAGATCCTTATACAACTGAAACTGGTTTGCAGTACTCGGCAGCAGTGCTTGTGAATGTTAAGTGAACAAAATAAACAGTGCGTGGAATTTATCAGGCAGCCTACTCAACTTCCGGATTACTTTCTATGTGTAAACAATCTGAGAACTGCTATAAATAAAGTGTTATATTTATTTAATTATCATCATTTATAGTCAAAGATGACCCTAGCCCTCCAGTAAGTAAGACTATCTACATCTTTGTTACATTTTGAAAAAATCGGAATGAATTTGGCTTTGTCGGGATGGCAGAATTGACATACATTTTTCGGGATGATTCCGATAAATTCGGGAGGGTTAGCATCTCTGATATAACATCATATTATTGATAACGATCATGTCAGGATATACAGTACATTAAAGTTTAACAGTAGGTATACGGTAAAGTCCCCAGGTATTTAATACCCGTGAAGGTCCGGGTTAGAATATTGATCTTTAGTACCCCATGCTTGTCGTAAGAGGCGACTAACGGGATCGGGTGGTCAGGCTCACTGACTTGGTCCACACATGTCATCGGTTCCCAATTGCGCAGATCGATGCTCATGCTGTTGATCACTGGATTGTCAGGTCCAGACTCGATTATTTACAGACCGCCGTCATGTAGCTGGAATATTGCTGAGTCTGGCGTAAAACTAAACTCACTCACTCATTCCCCAGGTATTCAAAAGGTGACATTGACATGGCAAGCGTACCCGGAAACGTGAAAGTTTGGCATAGGGGCCCAGGAGAACTTTCTGGAAGACGCGGAATACAGATGCCTGGAAGACCATGGCCGTGTAGCCAAGGTCAAAGGCGACCCGGTGGAGCATCTTGATGATACAGTGGTTGGTATGGTCTGAGTTCTTCTCAAAGTCGGCCAGCAGGATTCCATACGCCTTAAGTATCTCTGGCTTGCTGAACCTGAGTGGGCAGAATCGCAAAGTAATCCGCGGAGGCATGTTACACAATCACAATGATGTTCAATTTTTCCTCACTAAACAACAACCAATAATGTGAATGGAATTAGCAAAACATTTTGGTTCTAGACTTTGAACAGACAGACAAGGAACCATAGGTCTGCCATTTTGTGATTCAAATTTCAGCTGATTCTACAAAAGCTATGGGTATGCAGGGGTATCAGTTTATTTTCTCTGAGCTTCCTGAAGACATGAGCAATTAGTTGAAAACATATTTTTACACACTAAGGCAAAGTTCCGTAAAGTAATCTCAGCACTGAGACTATTGTAGCCCTCGCAATTTAACAAATGCTTACAATGTATGTAGATAGAACACTAATCCCTCTAAGCTTTAGTCTGTAGTTTCACCAACTGAAAAACTTGTCCACATGTTTCATAAACTTATCAGACCCTTGCACATTCCATATTAATAAGACCGCCTCGCGGGTGTAGTGGTTAGAGTGTTCACCGAGAGCCGGAAAATCGTGGTTCGATCCTCGACCGCCGCCATACCAAAAGACGTTTAAAATATGGTACTTGTTGGTCCCTGCCTGGTGCCTCGCATTAATGGGTACAACAAGGACTGGTCAGCTCGAGTCAGTATAATGTGTCTGAGTGGGGTATTCATGCTTCACTGCGCGCATGGTATCTCAGTGGGCTAGCACCATAAAACCAGCTTAAGTCTGGGCTAGTAGAAGCAGCCGCACATACACATACACACGCATGCACGCCGCCATATGAGAGAAATATTCTCAAGCTAACGATGTAAAACCCAATTTCACCTCACTCTCACCTCACCTCACCATATTAATAATGTGACATATATTTACCTTACAAACATAATTACAAAACCAAACAATATACTAGCCAGGTCTTGGATGTACCTACGTTAAAATGAACCCTGTGAAGTCAAACTCCTGCTCCGACGTAGATGTCTCCACTTCTTCCTCTGAAACATTCCCACAATGCAACATTAACAACCCATCTCTTGCAGCCACAACCTCAACTATCCAGGCTTATGTTCCACAAGGCACCGTAACTCTCATAGTTTAAAACTGACTTAAAACAGTTGAAACACGAGGATAGATTTGTGGAAGGAAGTCCAGTGTAATATAATGAAACACTTTGAAAATATGTTCAATTTCTGTGACATTTCGTAATATGGCCCTAAATATCAAATTAAGTCGTTCTGAGTACTTTGACAAAACAAAACATTGTCAGACAGGATTGAATCTCATATGATGTGTTTGTAGATGTTCGTAAGCACACAAGACTAATATCAATACATGAGGAGATGATAAACATTTTCACAAATTGTTTTATCAGCATTCCAGAAGTTGGTGAGTCAATAATGCATGGATAACAACTTGTTTCTTGCTAACAAGCTGTTGTCCATAAAGTTGTATTGCTTCAAAGTTTTCACAAGTTTCTAGTCTTTACATACTCAGAGATGCCAACCCCAAAGTGTTGCAAATAGTAGTTTCAAGGATCAAAATTAGCAGTTTGACCATAAAATTAGTAGTCAACTAAATACTTAAAATCATGATGGATTCTGAGAAAGATAATATGACACTAATCAAGAGTGAATCTGTAATTTCACATACCCCCAACATCAGATTTCCAAATTATCAGTATTACATTTCTTCTTATCGCCTCTTTAGGTGAAAATGTATTTAATCTAATCTAAAATATATGTTTTGTCTATATAACCAAATTTTAATGAATTTTCTTCAAATTTCTTAGACTTTCTAGTGCAATCGTATTAGCGTAGTTTGAGGCTAAAATTCGTAGCAACTATGATAACATCATAAAGGTTGGCATCTCTGCATACTGCTGGCCAGGTGAGCCAGCTCACCTCAAGGGAGGTTCATAGAACTTTGATCTTGCAACTATGTCTCCTGCCCCCGATTTCTCGAAACAAACTTAAGTTTTCACTCAAATTTCAAACTGAGTTTGACAATTTGAAACAGCTGAATTTTTTACTCAACTGCATTTTTAAAATAAAAAGCCAAACAACTTAATTAATCCATCCACCAAACTCAAATTGTCTACTATGTTTGAGTTTAATATTGATTTCAGTTCATTCTGGGAAATGCATTTTCTCAAATTTGAGTAAAAACTCTAACTTAAGTCAAAACTTAGACTTAAGTTTGTTTCGAGAAATCGGGGCCTGGTTATAGATATTGATTATACTTCTTATCACAAGATAGTCTCGTCAACCTATTAGAGAGTAGAATGATTACACGATGCCATTTAGAAAGTGACTGGAGAGTAGAATGTTTTTACTTTAATCATCTCAGAGGTCGGTAAAATACCAATCTGCTAACATTCCCAGTTGGGCTTGGCACATTGATGAAACTGTAGCCCAACTGATATTTTAAAAGCCACGGACTATTTTGTACACTGTGATGGAGTGTGACATACCTTCCTGTTGTGGTTCCTCCCACTCTTCAGGTATCAGCTGGGTGGCGGGGCGGTCTGGCTCTGCAACATAAGTTTTGTCATCAACACCTGGACAAACACAATCGCTGTTCATGTTACTTTGTATTCTGTGTGTTGTACTTAGAAATCTATAGCAGCCATGTGTGAAAGGAAAGCCCAAACAATGCAGGACTTGGATGTAAAAAGGATGCTCACCATCTTGACCAAACCGTGAGAGTTACTGATAAATCTTTGATCATATTCTGGGATTCAAACCCATAATAATAGGATCATGGCACACCTAAGGGACACAACTCTGTTGGGGAATTGTGGAACTCTGATAGCCTGTTTGAGAAAGTTTAACCAGCTTAGCTGCTTATGTAAGCAACATTACAAAATTTAACACAGCCATGTCAAAAAATATGGCTTAGACTTACAAGTTCCAAAATGAAAACTAAAGAAATAGTAGAAGATATAGAGGATACTAAACGATCTTCCGTGTAATACGGTATTTCACGGAAGCGAGTTTAGTATTCTGTTTATTACTCTCCAACATAAATTGATAGTAACTGCCTAGGGTGTGATGACTTGAGTCATCTTTCCGCGAGTCAAGCAAGGTCTTATACCATTGTGACAGAGGTACTAGCATTGTTACATAATAACTATAAACAATTATACGTCCGGCATCACGTGATGTTATTACACAATGTGTTATTACACAATGTGTAATAACATTGTAGATTTATTAAACAGTGATATCTTCACCGAGTGAGTGATAAATGGAGTTGATATGGAGACTTAGTACTAAAAATGGTACTAAAAACATACTACTAGACTGACAATTTCAATTCAGTATCTGTAAAATCAGTGGTTCCAAATCAATTCTGAGCACCCTTAATGAGGTTTTGACACACAAAATTCTTATCATTAACTTTATTATTACTTTGTTTTCAAAGTTTCAGGTCCAAAGAAGTGCTGTTTTGAAGATGGTGTCCAAATTGTATGAAGAGAAAATCTGAAGCACTGACAACAGCTGTATGTTTGGTCTAGGTGGGCTAAAGAAACTGGTCCGACAGAGTCTTGCTGAGGGAAGGGAGTGTCAGTCAGCCAGTTGACTCACTCGGTGTTCGTTTGCTTTATGCATTATTCATGTGGTATTATAGTAGGATGATCAGTTGATGTGACTAAACAATAGGCTGGGGTTTGTTTGTCTGTTTGTTAGGTAGGTTGGTTTGTTGTTTAACACCACAATCAGCAATATTCCAGCTTAATGACTGACTGACTGAGTTTTGGTTTTACACAGCTTTTAGCAATATTCCAGCAACATCACAGGCGGGGACACAAGATCCAGCTTAACGATGGCAGTCTGTAAACAATTGAGTCTGGACCAGACAATCCATTGATCACAAGCATGGGATACAATGACTACGGGCGAAACCCTATACCACTGTATTTTGCTTTCAGTTTGGTATACCGTAATGCAATAATTTGGGGGGGGGGTTCATTTTCGGTTTTCGTACCATCATTTTTTAAACCTTTTAAAAAGTGTCTAGAAATGGAATCATTTTGTCAAAATCTATGCATTTCTGTATGAAATGGATCGTACTGAAGGCTTTGTACCGCAATACATACCGTACCATGGTAAGAATGTACAGTTTCACCCCCAATGATGACACGGGTCAACTATGTTGCGAGCCTGACCACCCGATCCCTTTAGTTGCCTCTTACGACAAGCATGGTTTACTTGAAGACCAATCCTAACCGGATCTTCATGGGTCCTGTTTGTTAGGGCTAGCTATCGATATAGATATTAAAGATTGATGATTGTTAACCAAACATAAGTCAATCATAGATAATTATCAGACAAGTGACACTGGGCAAACAGAAATCAACATATTACACATCAGTGGTGACATATTTATGCATGGACTACTGCAGTGTCCTGAACAAAATTTAGAAGTAGCCAATGATTAAAGTATATGGTTTCAATTAAAACTGTATTTCATTGCAATAGTTTATGTACAATATTATTGATGACACAATCAATACTAATTCTTCCACTTGACAATATTTCCGAATAATCGATTTGTTCAGTCAGACCTATTGTTTGTTATTGAATGCAAGACAAAATGGCAGCCGGTGAATGTATCCAATGGTTGCTAGTATGAACAAGTGGTCAGTGTAGACGAACAAGAAATCTAAATCACTAACACATCCACATACAACACATACTGTAAACATATTAATGCAGGGATTGGGAAAGGTTATTATATGCCATACTGTAAAAAAAATCATAAAATTAATTACTATTGATACAGGGCAATTTAATCTAAAGTCAGAATAGCTAATAATCCTGAAAATGGCCCATTGTCAAAGTTCTATCCCAAATGCAATCACGCACAAATGTAATCTTTGATGTTCAGGGTCTAGTCTAAAATCTCAAATAATGAAATGTTCAGAAATCTGTGTTGATGATAAGATGTGACCATGCGAATCTTGATGATGTTCATTTTCTGTTCACTCTTGTTATTTTACCAAATAACCTGAATTGAGCTTGTTAAGCAATGAATGGAAATGAGCTGACGATGTTTTGATTACACTACCATTTTTGATCACGCGATTACTTGCTACTACTTGTCTTATGACAACATTTATAAACGTAATCCAACTTGAAAGAATTGAAAAGGTCAGAAGAGATTGCGAAATGATCCTGCGTGGTTGGAGACGGCTGATGTGCTTGAGTGACCTTAAACAATGCCCAGTGATTGTAACCAGTGATAATTACACGTGGCTTGAGATACCTGTAATGAGGAAGTGGCCTGTATTGGTGTAATGTGTAGTGTCAACACTGCCGCTATTGTTACTTAATTTGCCAATAAATAAGTTCAATGGATATCAATTAGTGTCATGGAAATTAAAGCTCATTTGTCAATTTTATGAGAGATGTCTAAATTGTTGGATTGTCATGATGAAGGCTAACCTGAAGACAATTGAGACAAGAGATTTACGTTTTCTGTCTTTTTTCTGTCTAAGTTCTCAAAAGTAGACATGGTCAGACTGAAATGCTTCATTTTAATAATGCGAGAAGAGTACAGACACATTTTTCGCATTGATAAAATGCTCACATTAATTTCATGATTTACAGTAGTTGCTGATGACAATCTCATCATCATAATCCACACAGGAGTTTTATATAATGAAAATAGGAACAAACTTATCCTAGATAGTTTAGAATTGTGTACATCTCAGACAGCTGGCCATGCCATACTCAGGACCATTGACCTGTGACCTGATTTCTTAAGCATCTGGTCATTACAGGTCAAAATCCCACGGTCAGTATTTGGACATCCTGAAAAGGAGTACCAGAAATAACAGAATCATATACACTGAAAATTGTCTCACTAAACAAAAGGAATGTATGAAAATGACATGTTTTTGAAAACTGACACATACATTTTTTTAATTTTGTAGCATTTTGAGATTTGATAAGAGAGAACTTGATGTAAGTGTCTGGGATTAAGTGACAATTGCAAATTAAATTGCCAAGGCTTGTGGAACAATTTTCCCATGAAATGTGAGGCATTTGTGTTGTTTTCAGGAGTTTAAGCCATAAACCCACTCTGAAGCACGTACTGGTGAAACCAAAGCTCTCCAAACCAACAACATCTGCGGAAACCAGGACCCTCGCTGGTGCCAACTATACTCACAGACACTATGGATGTCAAGTGGCTACTATCCCAGGAACTGCTTGCACTATTAGCCAGCTTCTGTGATTTCTCATCTGTGAATCAATTTCAAGTGGGTGGGCAGAGGGTTGCCTGAGATGGGTTTTACATTGTTTTGAAGAGTATTTAAGTTATTTCTGCATTAATTCTCTTTCTCACTGCACAAAATCAGCTGAGACAGCTGACCACTTCCAAAAACTGTAAAAGTGCATGTATTTAAAGAAGCCTACATGCTTAAGAGTGACTGAGTTTAGCTTATGCCGATTTTAGCAATATTCCAGCAATAACATGGCGGGGGACACCAGAAATGGGCTTCACACATTCTACCCATGTGGGAATCGAACCCTGGTGATCGGTGTGACGAGCAAACGCTTTAACCACTAGGCTACCCCACCGTCCCCTAAGTGTTTTAGATACTAAACTTATCATGTCAGAAGCCATGAACTTTATGAATATATGATTGTTGCTGACATATTATTATCAATATTGTTTATAAAGCTCTAAGTGATGTAGGAACTAAATGTACTGGCAAACACAGAAACACCAAATGGGCAAATCAGGAATTTTAACCACCAACACTGGTTTCTACAAGACTAAATATCATGTTGTCTCTGAGCGAGGTATCCAAGGCACTCATGAGCAAGAGTACTTTAGTGTGAATGACTGAGATTTCTGAGTTTTAGAAAAGTGATAAATTTAGGTTTACGCGGAGACCAAACAGATTGTTTGACGGACAATATGGAGTGCTGATATTATTCAAACAGTGATGATACATAAAAAACAACAGCAACTGATACAGATATGTGTTGTTCCGATTTTTTTCTTATTTTCAAATATCGAACTATGTCTTATGTTTTCCTGAACAAAGAAGTCTACAAAAAAGAAGATTAATAATGTTCAAAATTTAATCAAACAAAATTGGAAGCATAAATTAAATAGTATATATCATTTATCTCATGGTGTGAAGAACGTCATATTTTCACTTGAGTTGTGTATATTATGATTTTCACGTCACTCGATGACAGATACATTTGGGGGTGTGGTGGGCGAGCTGGCTAAGGCGCCAAGCTAGTGATCCAGCAAGCATGAGGTGCAGGGATCGAGCCCACCTGTGACCGGGTGTAAAAACCTTGGAGTCAACTTTGTGTGCAGACTCATTCAGTGTTGTCACAACCCCTAGTGTACAGTACACAACCCTGTGCACTTAAAAGAACCCACGAATCCGTTGGTATATGACCAGATGGTGGCCACGTGAATACGTTTAAACATCTTGTTGCAGGTACAGCAACGTGCAGTGAACTTGGACAAAGTACTGTGACTATGTGTCCCAGTCCACCC